TTCTCATTCATGGATGGATCATCCGGGTACAATCAAATTAAGATGGCACCGGAAGATGCGACACTCACAGCCTTCAGAACGCCGATTGGAAGAGATTGCTACACAGTGATGCCGTTTGGGTTAAAGAATGCTGGCGCAACATACCAACAAGCCATGACAAAGATTTTCGACGACCTCATCCACAATCAAGTCGAATGCTACGTGGATGATTTGGTCATCAAGAGCAAACGGAAGGAAAACTTCATGCATGATTTGAGAATTGTCTTTGAACGGTTACGACAATTTCACCTAAAAATGAATCCCTTAAAGTGCGCCTTCGGTGTCACCTCCGGGAAATTTTTTGGATTCGTTGTCCGGCACCGTGGAATCGAAATCGATCCAGAGAAGATTCAAGCCATCTTGGAAATGCCACCCCCTAGAACCTTGAAGCAACTGCGATCCTTTCAAGGGAAGTTGGCGTATCTAAGACGCTCAGAAGCTTAGACACTACATGCTCTCTCATAAGGTCACCCTTATTTCGAAGTTCAACCCGTTGCAATCTTTGATGACTCGACCGACACTCTCCGGAAGACTAGCAAGATGGTCGATGATATTACTACAGTTTGACATCACTTTCGTACCTCTTCGTGCTGTTAAAGGACAAGTGTTAGCGGACTTTCTCGCAGCGCACCCGATACCGGCCGAATCCCCTCTCAACGATGATTTGCCGGACGAACAGATAATGAGCCTGGGAAGCCCCGGTAGCCAACGCTGGGAGATGTACTTCGATGGAGCTTCATCAGCAAAGAAAGAGAAAGAATTACAAGCGATAGTGCCCGACAGAGCAGGAATTGGACTAATCTTTATCACACCAGATCAGGGAATGTTAAGGATTTAGCAGAGCCGTGTACGAACAACGAAGCAGAATACGAAGCACTGATAACAGGGCTGGAATTGGCGATCTTAATGGACATAACAGACATCGACGTCTATGGCGATTCGCAGCTTAGAATCCAACAAGTAGCCGGACAGTACAAGATTCTGAAACCCAGATTGGAACAGTACCACCGCTACACGATGAAGTTACTAGAACAGATTCCCAATGTGACGTTGCACAGAATTCCTCGGGGATTGCAGATGCTTTGGCCAAGCTCGCGAAAGAATTTGCATGCCCACAGGAAGACCTCATCGACATAACGGTTCAAGGGCGTCAGGTTTTGTCCCAAATTGACATGGACAATTTGCATAAACTGGGGAAAGAGGAAACACTGATAGCAGTTACTGAGTTTACAGAAGATTGGCGTCAACCGTTCATCGACTACTTGCGAACAGGAAAACTATCGGACGATAGATAAGTCAGCAGCACATCAGATACGCAGGAGAGGAACGAAGTACTCGACTGAAAGGAGAGGATGGTCTTTTTTCGAGCAGTAGACCTGCCCTAAAGGACTCTTTCTCTTTAGGAAGAGGGCTGCCACTGGCGATCACTCAACCAAGCAAGCAGCCCCGGGAGGAAAAGATTTTGAGCACTCGGGCAGGCGCGGATAATTCTTGGTTGGCTATCTTTTTGGGAAGGCGCTAGATAAAGACTTATAGAATCAAGAAAATGAGAGACTCGGCCGGTTGACTCGAATTCGAATGAAAAAAGAAAAAAAAAACGTGAGCGCTTTCGTCTTCAATGAGGAATAAGGGACGGAGCTTGAAGAAGCGAGCCTAGCCTATTACATTGCTTTATATGGCTGATTAGTCTGAGTCAAGCGCTAGCGCCCCTCTGAAGTAAGGTAAGGCTATTCTGCTATCAATGAGTTTTTGATGCAAAAACGTTGGAATGACGAGACTGATTCCCCAGCGCTGAAATGCAGCAATAATGGAACGCATCGGCCGGGCACAGCTACGCATGGAAGACGGTCAACTTGACTGAACTGAACAAACTAGCGTTGGTTTGAAATGCACCCCAAAAGAGTCAGGCGTGGGTAAGAGGGTATCCACCCCGACAGTTTGAGGGAAGAGACGACTGTCTTGATGATATCATCTCTTCTATCTCCCCTTCTTGAATGGCAGAGGGCGAAACCTCTTCGTGCAACTCTTCCCGGGAAGTGAATTTGCTTCTTCTCCTTTTTCAGAAGAACTGAGTGAGTGGTCCTCTTCAAGCTGTAACCACCACTTGTCCTCCAGATCGATTTCCATCTCCTCGCTAAAAAGAACCTGGCATCCGCAGGGATGCGGCCCCGGTGAATTATTGGTCTGGTTCCGGCGGTCTTGGAACAGAACATAGAGATCCGCCCAGTTTCTCTTCGGCTTCATTTCAGAAGATCCAATTTGGGGGCGCCCCATCTTCTCAAATCTTCTCTCAGAGTTGTTGTCACCGATGGCTCTTTCATCAGGTCAGCAGAGGAGTCTTGCATGCTTGCTTGCGGTACCGTTGTCGATCCAGCCCATCTTCTTCGTCAGAAAACGGAAAACACTTCGTCCAGTGCTCAGGCTTCTGATTCGAGGTTTGGTTTGGTCCTACTTCTGATTTGGAAAAAGGGAGGGGAGCCTTAACCCGAATTCTAAACCGGCGTGGCACTGCCTTCTGATCAATAGAACAGGAAGAGGAGAAAAGAAAGACCACCAAAAGTCACGACCACCAAGATGCGCATAATGATTCGATCTTTTGATAACCCATTTTTTGAAAACCACCATTTTTGGGGGCTGACGCGTGACACACGGAAGATTGGATTGCCTGAATCACGAGTCTTATATACTGTGTTACGATCACCTCATATTGATAAAAAGTCCAGAGAACAATTTGAAATGGAAATCAAGACAAAATTTCTTGTCATAAAAACGGAAACGCATGAATTGCGCAAGAAGTTCTTTCGGTTAAAACGCCGTGCGACTCGTAGGACATAAGACTTTTTGGTCAGGCCAAAAATCTTGCCGACTGGATGCTCCTACCCCACCATGCCTAGCCCTTGACCTTAAGAAGAGGAGGTATGAAGCGTGGGAAACTATGCAAGAAGTGTATGATACAAGATGTCACCTTAAGGAGTGGCGGCAAAACTAGAAATTGATCAACGCGAGTGAACTGTGCTTAGACGCTTCGTCAAACCGCACCGCATCTACGGGGGGAGCTGATGGATGAGTCTAGCGCCTTTCGATTCACGGAATGTGATCTGGGACACGATGGGAGTTAGCGTGCCTCGGTAGGCAAGAGATCACCGGAGTCTAGCACAAGATCGCCCTTTCTTGCTGGCATGGGGTCAACCTGTGAACAAGGTAAACCCAATGGGATGGGAACCAAAAAACGGGAGGTACCGCATTGGGCAGAAGACGATCCAAAAAGCGAAGGCTCACCCTTCAAAGTGCCGGGTGAGATAGGAGGTAGCTTGCTTCCAAACCGGCCCGGCCGCGAGGAATCAAGAGATCTTTGCCGGTGCTGACTTGGATCTCGGGTGACGGAAGAAGGCGGCCAGAAGCGACGAGCAGTCGCGGTCGAAGCTTGGCTCTAGCCAATAGGCTAGCAGTAAGCTTGGCTACAGCGAAGCGCTTACCAGAAAGGGCCTTCGCCACTTGAGCCGTATGCGGGGGAACTCGCACGTGCGGTTCTGAGGGGGGGGGAGAACGTCGGTTGAGCCATTCCATCCCAATAGCGTATATTTGGAGCTCAATATGAAATTCGTCTTTCTTGCAAGACCCGTTCGGATAAGGGCAAACTCCAGAGATTGCTTCGAAGTCAGATCCTTGCCTTTACCCTTTCCTCAACCAGAAAAACATTCTAAATTGACTCTCTTTTAGTCAAAACAATTTTCTCTTTTCTGACGCGCAGTGTCTGACTGTTCCCTGCTGTTGTGGCTTTCTCATTCTTTTCTTGTACTACACCAACCTCTCGATATGCCCGAGAAAAAAGGAACGTGGGAAATCTTCCCCGGGTGTCTGAGAACCCTATCTAGGGCACCTCCGCATTACCATGCTGCTGGGACGTCAAAGTGTATTTGTTACCAATTTTGATTGTCTTCTAGAATGAGTTCTTTTTGTCTTTCTTTTCTCTAACGCCTTACTTCTGGAATTCAGTTATTAGGGAAGAAGTCAAAGTAGTTCATTACGGACATCCCCCTCCTCAACCCCCAAATGTTGTGAGCGAGTTGGGTGCTTGAGAAGGACCAATCAGAGGCAGGAAATGCATCCATTCCATCCATGTACGTATCAAAAACTGATGGAGGTCATCAGGCAGCCTATCCGAACGGGACAAAGAGTTGAGTTGGTTGTCGAAAAGCCCCATTCCATTCGGCTTCGGATAAAGATGAAAGACTGCATGGGCTTTAGCACTCGACTGAAAGGATAGGCGCTAGTAGGCGCACCCCGACAAAAGAGAAATTCTATGAAGAAGGCATCAGGTCGCAGCTTACTGACTAATGAAAGTGTGCGCCTTAAGCCTGAATACTCAGGGCAAGTTCAGCCTTGACTTGCTAGTGCGGCAGATTCCTTTCATGATCGGACTACCTATCTTTCTGCTTCAAATCTGTATTCAGAGCTTTTTTCCAACTACTGGGACTACTCCTTTACAGCACAAAGCCCTCAATTGAATATGCTACTGCTCTGACTTTAGACCAGAATCCGAGCATTGAAGCAAGCTTTTTGTCGCACCATAACCGAGTCTCTCCTTTCAGCTCTGACCAATCCACCCGTCATTGCTCAGAACTGTGCTCCTTACTCCTTGACTGTCTGGTATGGCCACTTTTGCTTGATGTCTGGCTCACCCCATCATTCACCCGAATTGTTTGTTCAATTAGAGTCGTATGAACCATTTTTGAATAATTCAAATTATAATGCGCCTGGCTTTCGTAGGGTTATTTTACTTGAAAGTCACGACGTTTCTGCATTGGTGGAGTCGGTCATGGGGACGGAGGTACCTTTTTCCAAAATCTCAATACCTGCTACTGGCCCAGTGTTTAATGCAGTTGGTTTAGGTGTGATGGTAGCTTTCTTTCTTGTTGTCGGTGTCGGTCTGTTTCCTGAGGGTGTAATATGCCCTTAATGCATTACAACTGACATTGAAAATGATTAGCTTCTTCTGTCAAGCTAAAATGTGGTGAGCTATTAGAACTGAGAAACTGTCAGATGAATGAATCATTGACAATGGGTTAGTAGTAAAAAGTGTTCATGATACTGCATCTCAGGTTGCAGCAAGAACTTCATATCCTTAACAGGAGAATAAGTTGTCTGCAAAGTCAAAATGCGGCTATCAGAAATTGCTAGCAACACTGAGAGAAAGTCTCTTTGTATCAAGATGTGTGCCGTTAGAGTCATGATTCTGAGTTCTTGCTTCAATCTTTCACTTTTTCTTTCTCCGGTAGGAATGATCAGTAGATGTGTCTAAATCATTAGAAGCAGCCAATCTCACTCAACTGAGGATAACTACACTAAATGGATACATAGTACTTTTCTCACTCAACATGAAAATTCTCTTTCTAACAACACAGTAGGACTAGGGAATAGATTCTCAAGAAGTCCGGAGTTCTTCTCCGGGTTCCCTTGTGGATATTCTACTCAGATTTGTTGAAGAAACAAAACACATTAGGGGGTTCCGATTTAGGACCCTCAGTTTCTCTTTAGCCTGTGTCGAGGCGAAACAAACAAGATTTAACTCATGTAGATCTACTCTTCTAGCGCGTAGGAAGCTGCTGAACTCAAGCGACTCTGCCGGGTAGCTCTATGCGCCTAGCTGGTGCTCTCTTGTGTAGTTTAGCTTGGTTGGGGATCTTACTAGCGGTATTCTATAAGAGAGAACGACGAGCGAGTTGTCTGGACCAAGGGAGTAAATAGTTGACCATATAAGTCAAAAAGAATTTCTTGCAGTCATATTACTCTATCTGAAAAGAATTCATTAATGAGAAGACTAGTTTCTCAAAGAAAAAAGTACCCTAGCCTATTCTCTCTTCTTAAGATGAACTTCATTTCTCATTCAATTTGTTTTCCATTAATGAATTTGAGATTGAAGAGTACTACTATTCTTTCTATCTAGAATCTATTAGTCTGAGATTTCTATATCTACCATTCTTTGGAGTAGATCTTTTTGTTCTGTTGAATGTTGACTCGTGGAGCTATCAGCTGATATCTCTAAAGATTGAACGGAGGATGGTCTTCTATTTAGAAGAAAGAGGATGGATTGGTCTGAATGTTATGGTTGCTTGCCTACAGATGCGACTTTCAAATCTGGTTTCTTTCCCCTTTCAAAGAAAGAAAATGGGAATTGTTGACAGAGTGTACAAGCTTGACTTAAGCGAAGATTCCAATCAGTCTTATTTTAGATAAGGTTATGCCCTTAGTTGGAGAAGTTTCAGTTTCTAAACTCATATCATCTTTTCTTAATCTTCCTATAAGATGAACAGTACCTGTGTTATTCATGGTTTTCTTTCAGTTTGGTGTTATTGTCACTTTCATGCTACTTCACATGTTTTATTATTGAGTAAGTTATTCCCACTGATTTACTGTTGTGTTTGCATGAGATGTTGGTGTTATCATGATTTTATTATGGTTAAGTGAAAATGGGAATTTCCATAAAATGATTCACACTTTCAAAATCTATTTGAATTTTGTTCTTTTTCAATATCTATTTGAATTTTCCTCATCTGAGTCAGACCCAGCATTGACAGTCTGTGGACTAGCGAACGAGAGCTTGAAGGTATGCTTTTTTCTCTTGCTCATAGGAAGAAGTTTAGGCCTTGAAAGATACCTTGTTGATGAAGCTAAGATGGATTTGATGTCAGATGCCCCCAACCCCCGTTTTGTCTATATAAACCTAGCCAACAATTCGATCTTGAGTTGGTTCAAAGTTGAGGATTCAGAGCAGATCAACTCCAGGTTTGGTTCCGCAGCTTCTAAAAAGTAAGATCGTGAAGATCTTACGAAGCCCCTGTCTAGTGTCCACTCCTTTCTAAGGGTTCCAAACCTCTTCTCCTTCCCCTCCTAAGGCATTCCTTCCCCTTTCATTCATTCCTAAGGAGCTAACGAACAAGCGGCGGAATAGACAGAAAGCGCAGGGATCTTAGAGAAGACAGTGAATGTGATCAAGACAGTTACAGTTCAATAAAGTGCTTTTCTCATTTTCTCATAGGATATATCCAGCAGTGCCCTTTTAGTCTCTGTGCCCTTTACTAGGGGTTTAGTTGTCTAGTGCCAGTGCCCTTAGATAAAGTTCCATTCCAGCGATTGGACCCTCTCTTACATCCCGTGGTAATTGGTGCCTTCCAGCGAGCAGCTAGTACAATCTTGGGGTCAATTTTCTTTGATTTGAAGTCAGCTCCTTGGCCAGCTTTCAAAGGGGTGGTCTTTTCCGGACACTTGGGTTGGAAATCCAGGTTCTGAGTGGGGAAGAGGGCATTTCTAGTGAACCCAAGGACTTTTAGTTAGTACCGCCCTGTTTTATCGGTCTTCGAAGCGAGCCTATCAAATTCACTTCTTGCATCCCTTGTTCTAGGTAGAGGTACCATCGGGATCGGGACAACATTCCAATCGGCAATTGGCCCCGTAATGAATGAAAATAGGTCAAATAGCTTATAGAAAGGGATTAATCAACTTGTACTCTAGCTGGTATGACGAAGTTAAGGGACTCTCCTAAGAGAGGCTCGAACGTAGCCCATTCAGTTGGTGATTAATTAACCGTTCCTTGCTGTTGTTGTTTAGTTCACAGATCGGGGGTTGCGATCAAGGAAACACATCTGTACTTCTGACTTCCAGCGTAGTGAAACTCTAGTCAGCACGATGTTGCGAAGGGACGAAACAATAAAGAGGGCTATGATTTATTTGGGTTGTATAAAAGGGGCAAGGAAGACGGCTATGGGGTGCAAATCTGACTTCTTTCCTTTCCCTGCTGTTGAATGGGACTCCCCAAGCCTTCAGTGTGCAAATGCCTTTGCTTTGGTCTCTGCGGCACTTCGACTGAAGTGAATATATATTATTATATATAATATATAAGAAAGAATAAAAAAGGAAGACTCTATTAATGAGGTTTAAGCGAGATTTTGTCTAGATCGTCGGAGTCGGAGAAAGCAAGGTGCTAGAGGATAGTGAGAAACTCAGAATAAATGATCTTCTAACGGAAGAGGATTCCCCGGTATCAGACTCTACTAGAACATCATCCGATGAAGCTACATCGGTTACCAAAGCATCTTCTGACTGAGCAGCAGAAAGTGATTCGAAAACAGAAACACCCGATGGAGTCCATTTCTTGGCCGACTTTCATTCAAATGGTGAGTCCAGCCATTCTTCTAGCAGAAGCACACCTTATAGAATTATAGAAAGGATAAAAGTCCTAAAGGAAAGACCCATACCGTCTTCCTCTGATCAAAAGGGAGCCCTTTATTGAACTTCAACCGTGGGAACACACTCTTACTCGAAAGAAGGAAAGTCAATACAGGTGCCGCTTCTTTAATCGTAAAGTGCTTCCCTTGATCGGGTTGACGAGCTTACCCTGGGTTATACTAGAATAGCCAGATTGGCGAACTAAAGAAGAGTCATAATAAGCCAAGAAGGGGAAATGAAACCTCTGAGATCTTCTTCGAATCCGGATCCAGATATGGAACATCTCAAAAAAGATCTCTCTGAACATATCTAGCGCCTTCTTAATCTCAAACTCAAAATGAGTTTTCAAAAGAGTGTTCATTAGTTGACAGCTATTTAGTAGTAACCATTTGGATTTCTTCTTATGTATTAAGTCTTAATAGCTAGAAGGAATCTGACTGTAAGCTAGTAGTCCAACTACTGTACCCTGAGAATACTAGCAGTAAGTAGTATGTTTTTCCAGATGTTCAGAGAATTCTCCCATAGAATTAGACAGATCGCCTCGAAGCTGACTGAGGCAATGACCAGAGAGAGTAGATCTGGCTTCCGGCTATGAGGATGGCGAAACCCATTATCATCCTGACATAACAGACTCTAGAATTTCAAAATGTGTTTGAGATCAATATGAGAATGAAAGCCTGTCAGCGGTTAAGTCAGCGAGACCATAAGCCCCTTTATAGATAGGGGCGGTCAGAGGCACTGTCAACCTTAACCGGCACACGCACCTGCATAATCAACTGATCCCGAAACTTCCCTCAGGTTAAACAACCGAATCTCCTAGCTCCACAAATGGGTAGTATGAACAAGTCGGGAAATCTATTGGCTGTTGTAGTAACTGGTTGGTGTAGGAGCATACGCATAAGAAAAAAGCCAATTTTTCCGTATTTTCAGGTAAAAGACCAAGCCAATCGAATCAAAGAAGTCAATAACTCACTCAATAAGAGGATCTTCTTAAAGAGGTAGAGTAACGGGAACTGACCAATGACGAGAGCTTAACGAAGGACTCATTTCCATAGCGGGAGCGTACGCGAGGAGCTAATCACGAGGGTGGTATCGATATCATCATTTTCGTCTAGATATGGTTCATTTGGCAAAGTCACTAAATCTTCAATTACATACACAGAACAAAAAAAGTCTGGTTTGGTATATCCTTGTCCCGCCCCTTTGCAACCCATGATAACTATCACGAAATATTCCAAGGCTCTGCAAAGAGGTTCCACTCCACGGAAGCCCTTCCTTATGTCGGTGAAACCAACAGATTAGCAGACTAAGCGCCCATGAGGCAATGAAATTGTTTGATTCTCAGAGGCTCTTAAAAGCCCTATTATGCCTTCTTTGAAACTTGCTTAGCTTGACTGGTGGTATTTTGGAGAGGGTTTTCGAGATCCGGTGGCGGAGGTGAGTGTTGTCCTCTAAGCTAACTCCCTGATTCCTTCTGTTGTGCCTGCCGATTCGATTACTCCTGAAAAGTGGCATCGGCTTCTGACTTTGAAAATTGGAAGCGGACAAGTGAGTAGTTTAATATCAGACAGGTGGCTAGCCGACATGCCCAAAAGGACTCAGCTGAAAGATTAAAGAGGACCATAGGCCGCAGAAAATAACTATACGCCAGCTCGAGTGCAAGCTAAAGTTCCAGTTGTTCCGACTATCGGCTACCTCTCTGACTACCGGAAGTAGAAGGGCATACTCTAAGCTGACTTGACATGGCGAGTGCTTATTCAAAAAGCGATTCTCACCCTAGGGTTAGGTATCATAATAGAGTCAAGTAGGACAGAACGATTAGCTTAGCAGTGAACAAGAATCATTCAATCAGCTCCAGAGCTGGGAGTTCTTTTGCTATTTCAAATAGGAGGTCTTATGAAGAAGAAATGAACTGAGATAGAGATAGAGGCAAGGCAGAATAAGCGATGTTGGAGGCAGGGCTCCTAGAAGAGAAGCTCATACCCAAAGGGAAATGATCCTTAGGTCAGAAAGGCCCCTCTCTTCACTAAGCTAAGCCGGAAAGAGAGAGAGAGTGAGATCCGAGCATAGCCATAGATGTGGAACTCTTTCGAAAGAGGTAGGAATTCTTCGCTAAAAAAAGAGGACAGGTGCGCAGCGGTTCGTAATCGTAGCAAGTGACATCTTCAATCAAGAAAGACCTGGCTCAAGGGAAGAGAGTTCCTTCACTTCCGGGCTGAAAGAAGCGAGTGACTCTCGCGGGTATCTATCAACATATAGAGATGTCGCCCCTGTCGCTGCACTTGGAGGCCTTATCACTGTTGGTGCTTTTCATAGCGTAGTAGAGTAGCCAAGGGCGTAAGCTAAATTCTACTCCTTTTCTCTGGGGTTCGGAAGAATAGAATCTTTTGCCCTTCGACTCCGATATTCTATTCTATTCTAGAATATAGAACGGCAATATCCCCTGCTGCTGCCGTTGAAGGAATAAGGGCTACTATTGATGAAAATGCTATATAAGAAGTTCTTGTCTCTTTCCCGCAAACTGATTGACCGAGTTTGAAAGAAGGACCTGTTGGTCTTTTCGTTCGTTATATAGCGATAATAGCCCATTCATTACCTTCCTTTCTGATCGAATCCGAACATCAATTTGTTATCACGCAGTGCAACAGGCAAGAAATGAAATCGAAGAATTGTATGCCCTTTCTTTCAATTGAGCTGATCGCCTCGCTTCGCTAGTTAGAGTTGTGCTCTTCCTGAGCTGATTGCGTGCGCCTAGAGCTGTGTTGACAGAGCTACTTCTTGCTGTATGCCCACCAAAGCACAGACTCTACTCACCCACTACTGGACTCTTCTACGGGCTGGTGAGACTATTCCACTACAGATTGATGGACTGACTAATTTGCTGACTGATTCAAGGCAATGATAATTGACGGTTCGGTGATCGAGCGAAGATAGACGACAACTGTAAGCTCTATTGTGCTCGCTTGTTTAGGTGTTTAGGATAAGGGGCTACTCATTCCCATTACAGTCAATCAGTCGAAACATCAGAGGAGAATTGAGATTTTTATTCTTTGATTCAATAATCTCGTGTATAATAGTATTAAGGTAGGAATGAGAAGTCAAATCTGATACGTACTTCGTGTTGCTTAGGCGTCGTTGTCAGGTTCTTGTTCTCTCTAATTTTTCTTTGAGAAAGTGATTTTCAATCTTGAGTTGTTTGACTTCATTCCTTAGTGATTGAATTATGAGTATTCCTCTGTTATTTAGGCATGACAAGTCTGTGACCTCGATTGGTTCAGAATCTACCCAGAGATCACTGTGATAGACTGGCATCCTCTTGTTACTGAGATTTAGACCTATTTTTTTTGACCAATGTGTCTTTCTTTATGATGTTAAGAGAGTGCCAATCAACCTTGAAGTTGGAAGAAACCTGTACCTGTTCTGTACGAGCTGGGTCAGTGTACTGTGCCTCAAACCATTCTGGATAGACCTGGTTTTTAGCTGGTCCCTTAACACCTTTTCCATCTATTGTGTTGTAAGAATAGCATTTCGGTGCTAAAAAGTATCCTTTTATGATTCTATCCTCTAGCTTCAACTTGCCTAAGACAGATGAAGAAAGAACTTCTTCAGGTAGTGGCTGACCAAGCACAACTGAGTCAGTGTCTGTGTAGTAGCTGTCTTCTCTTGAGATATAGGGGAACATATAGATCCTAGCGGAGGCAGTTATCGCAGCTGCTAGTTGTACAGCTGAATTCTTCGGTGGGTTCCAATAATCTGAGTCCGTCTCGGTATTGCTATGGTAGGAAACGATGTAGTTGTTCTCGCTAAGCATATAAAAGGATATTAACTAACTCTTCCTGATCAAATGTTTGAATCGATTTTCATCGCAGACATCGGTGACCGTGCATTTTGGGTTAATACCAAATCTACCGTATAGCGAATTCATAAGGATCTTGTACACAAAGGCCAAGGCATCATTACCTTCTTTCCTTGCCTCTAACCTACTCTCAAAGAGTGTGCTAACAAAGTCCTTGAATGGGCTTTCCATTCTCTCATAGAGGTATCCTGAGATTGGGATCACAGTGTAGCCTAAGCTTTTTGCATACTTTAACTCCTCACTATAGTAGACTCCAACAAATTCCCCGGTTGGAAAGAGAAGAGTCTGATTCTTGTCTCGATAGGGTAGAAATGGCCTCTTTAGAGTCTTCGGACATACCACATATGCCTCAATAAAGCCAAACAAGCTATCATCTAAGTCCTTGCCAACCAGATTTCCATGCCAGACTGGATCACCACCAGGCATTGGGAATTCCTTCATTACAAAGGGATAGAGAGAGTTCACATCGTAGTAGTATAGGTCCTCGCCATATGGCTTGTATGTATCTGTATGACCACCATAGTATCCCCGCCTTATAAAGGAGTCTTCATTCTTATTTGGGATGTGGATAGGCCAATTCTTTGAGTCGTAGTATTTCAGACGATAGATGCTTAGAGCCAATGAGGAAAGTGTAATCTTGCTTTCTATGTCCACGTTATACAGCTTCCAATAAATCTCTTGAGCTTTTTGCATTCTACCTCCAAGGAGAAGGATGTCCTGCTTCATATAGTCTAACAAGCTTTTTTTCATACTGACCAGATTTGACAGTTTCACCTCATCATATGGGATTGAGCCTTTCTGGCCTAGATCCGGGCATAGATTATTAGCTAGGTCGCTCAGTTTGCCTGGTAGAAGATTCAAGGAGTCTCTGAAGCAGAATAACTTCTTCTTACCAGAATAGACAGCTATCTCGTAAAGCCTATGGTTCCTAACCAGTGGTTTGAGCTTGTAGCTCTTATGATGACATGCTAGGTGCTTAAGCAAGAAAATACCATCGAATCTAGATAAATTGTGAAAGTAAATAGTGAAAGCTGATTTTTCTTTTCTAACAATCGCTAATATCCTTTTGATAAAGTCAAAAAGAACCTTAGTACTCCTTTCTTCAAAGGAATCCAAGATTATAGAGTGGTCTTCGCTGAAGTAAGTATCGATCAATCGATTCTTGATCTCTTTACCAGGACGAACCAACAAGAGACCTACTGCATAAGGCTTATGTTCGTTATCGATCAGTATAGTCTCGGTATCGGCAACTAGGAATGGTTTCAGCTCTGTGCGAGATGGTTTGAGTGCTTGGATATGCCTTGGATAGCTACGCTGACGATTTCGGATTGCTCTTGCAGTTATTGGCTCGATCTCACTCAATCCGGCTTTCATGATTGAAGAAAGTGTGCTATCTCGCGCCTCAGAAGATAGGGAAGGCCTTTGCATCTTGTTGCCGTCCATAGAGACCATAGGCCGCAGAAAATAACTATACGCCAGCTCGAGTGCAAGCTAAAGTTCCAGTTGTTCCGACTATCGGCTACCTCTCTGACTACCGGAAGTAGAAGGGCATACTCTAAGCTGACTTGACATGGCGAGTGCTTATTCAAAAAGCGATTCTCACCCTAGGGTTAGGTATCATAATAGAGTCAAGTAGGACAGAACGATTAGCTTAGCAGTGAACAAGAATCATTCAATCAGCTCCAGAGCTGGGAGTTCTTTTGCTATTTCAAATAGGAGGTCTTATGAAGAAGAAATGAACTGAGATAGAGATAGAGGCAAGGCAGAATAAGCGATGTTGGAGGCAGGGCTCCTAGAAGAGAAGCTCATACCCAAAGGGAAATGATCCTTAGGTCAGAAAGGCCCCTCTCTTCACTAAGCTAAGCCGGAAAGAGAGAGAGAGTGAGATCCGAGCATAGCCATAGATGTGGAACTCTTTCGAAAGAGGTAGGAATTCTTCGCTAAAAAAAGAGGACAGGTGCGCAGCGGTTCGTAATCGTAGCAAGTGACATCTTCAATCAAGAAAGACCTGGCTCAAGGGAAGAGAGTTCCTTCACTTCCGGGCTGAAAGAAGCGAGTGACTCTCGCGGGTATCTATCAACATATAGAGATGTCGCCCCTGTCGCTGCACTTGGAGGCCTTATCACTGTTGGTGCTTTTCATAGCGTAGTAGAGTAGCCAAGGGCGTAAGCTAAATTCTACTCCTTTTCTCTGGGGTTCGGAAGAATAGAATCTTTTGCCCTTCGACTCCGATATTCTATTCTATTCTAGAATATAGAACGGCAATATCCCCTGCTGCTGCCGTTGAAGGAATAAGGGCTACTATTGATGAAAATGCTATATAAGAAGTTCTTGTCTCTTTCCCGCAAACTGATTGACCGAGTTTGAAAGAAGGACCTGTTGGTCTTTTCGTTCGTTATATAGCGATAATAGCCCATTCATTACCTTCCTTTCTGATCGAATCCGAACATCAATTTGTTATCACGCAGTGCAACAGGCAAGAAATGAAATCGAAGAATTGTATGCCCTTTCTTTCAATTGAGCTGATCGCCTCGCTTCGCTAGTTAGAGTTGTGCTCTTCCTGAGCTGATTGCGTGCGCCTAGAGCTGTGTTGACAGAGCTACTTCTTGCTGTATGCCCACCAAAGCACAGACTCTACTCACCCACTACTGGACTCTTCTACGGGCTGGTGAGACTATTCCACTACAGATTGATGGACTGACTAATTTGCTGACTGATTCAAGGCAATGATAATTGACGGTTCGGTGATCGAGCGAAGATAGACGACAACTGTAAGCTCTATTGTGCTCGCTTGTTTAGGTGTTTAGGATAAGGGGCTACTCATTCCCATTACAGTCAATCAGTCGAAACATCAGAGGAGAATTGAGATTTTTATTCTTTGATTCAATAATCTCGTGTATAATAGTATTAAGGTAGGAATGAGAAGTCAAATCTGATACGTACTTCGTGTTGCTTAGGCGTCGTTGTCAGGTTCTTGTTCTCTCTAATTTTTCTTTGAGAAAGTGATTTTCAATCTTGAGTTGTTTGACTTCATTCCTTAGTGATTGAATTATGAGTATTCCTCTGTTATTTAGGCATGACAAGTCTGTGACCTCGATTGGTTCAGAATCTACCCAGAGATCACTGTGATAGACTGGCATCCTCTTGTTACTGAGATTTAGACCTATTTTTTTTGACCAATGTGTCTTTCTTTATGATGTTAAGAGAGTGCCAATCAACCTTGAAGTTGGAAGAAACCTGTACCTGTTCTGTACGAGCTGGGTCAGTGTACTGTGCCTCAAACCATTCTGGATAGACCTGGTTTTTAGCTGGTCCCTTAACACCTTTTCCATCTATTGTGTTGTAAGAATAGCATTTCGGTGCTAAAAAGTATCCTTTTATGATTCTATCCTCTAGCTTCAACTTGCCTAAGACAGATGAAGAAAGAACTTCTTCAGGTAGTGGCTGACCAAGCACAACTGAGTCAGTGTCTGTGTAGTAGCTGTCTTCTCTTGAGATATAGGGGAACATATAGATCCTAGCGGAGGCAGTTATCGCAGCTGCTAGTTGTACAGCTGAATTCTTCGGTGGGTTCCAATAATCTGAGTCCGTCTCGGTATTGCTATGGTAGGAAACGATGTAGTTGTTCTCGCTAAGCATATAAAAGGATATTAACTAACTCTTCCTGATCAAATGTTTGAATCGATTTTCATCGCAGACATCGGTGACCGTGCATTTTGGGTTAATACCAAATCTACCGTATAGCGAATTCATAAGGATCTTGTACACAAAGGCCAAGGCATCATTACCTTCTTTCCTTGCCTCTAACCTACTCTCAAAGAGTGTGCTAACAAAGTCCTTGAATGGGCTTTCCATTCTCTCATAGAGGTATCCTGAGATTGGGATCACAGTGTAGCCTAAGCTTTTTGCATACTTTAACTCCTCACTATAGTAGACTCCAACAAATTCCCCGGTTGGAAAGAGAAGAGTCTGATTCTTGTCTCGATAGGGTAGAAATGGCCTCTTTAGAGTCTTCGGACATACCACATATGCCTCAATAAAGCCAAACAAGCTATCATCTAAGTCCTTACCAACCAGATTTCCATGCCAGACTGGATCACCACCAGGCATTGGGAATTCCTTCATTACAAAGGGATAGAGAGAGTTCACATCGTAGTAGTATAGGTCCTCGCCATATGGCTTGTATGTATCTGTATGACCACCATAGTATCCCCGCCTTATAAAGGAGTCTTCATTCTTATTTGGGATGTGGATAGGCCAATTCTTTGAGTCGTAGTATTTCAGACGATAGATGCTTAGAGCCAATGAGGAAAGTGTAATCTTGCTTTCTATGTCCACGTTATACAGCTTCCAATAAATCTCTTGAGCTTTTTGCATTCTACCTCCAAGGAGAAGGATGTCCTGCTTCATATAGTCTAACAAGCTTTTTTTCATACTGACCAGATTTGACAGTTTCACCTCATCATATGGGATTGAGCCTTTCTGGCCTAGATCCGGGCATAGATTATTAGCTAGGTCGCTCAGTTTGCCTGGTAGAAGATTCAAGGAGTCTCTGAAGCAGAATAACTTCTTCTTACCAGAATAGACAGCTATCTCGTAAAGCCTATGGTTCCTAACCAGTGGTTTGAGCTTGTAGCTCTTATGATGACATGCTAGGTGCTTAAGCAAGAAAATACCATCGAATCTAGATAAATTGTGAAAGTAAATAGTGAAAGCTGATTTTTCTTTTCTAACAATCGCTAATATCCTTTTGATAAAGTCAAAAAGAACCTTAGTACTCCTTTCTTCAAAGGAATCCAAGATTATAGAGTGGTCTTCGCTGAAGTAAGTATCGATCAATCGATTCTTGATCTCTTTACCAGGACGAACCAACAAGAGACCTACTGCATAAGGCTTATGTTCGTTATCGATCAGTATAGTCTCGGTATCGGCAACTAGGAATGGTTTCAGCTCTGTGCGAGATGGTTTGAGTGCTTGGATATGCCTTGGATAGCTACGCTGACGATTTCGGATTGCTCTTGCAGTTATTGGCTCGATCTCACTCAATCCGGCTTTCATGATTGAAGAAAGTGTGCTATCTCTCTCCTCAGAAGATAGGGAAGGCCTATACATCTTTTTGCCGTCCATATAGACTCGGATCATGAGTCGAACTAGATTCTCCCCGTCGTAGATTTCTGCATATTTCAGAATACTTCGATATATTTGAGCATAGACCTCATTCTTTGGAATGAACTCACAATCTTGATAAGTCAAGGGGATAGCGGGACCTGTAGTAAATGAGATCTCCTCTCCGTAAGATCGAATCATAGTCAAGGAAATAGTCAACTTAGCGTAACCAGATAAAGATGGGTAAGCAAACTGGATTAAGAGACCAAGGGTAGCAAGACTGAGTAGGTCAATCTCGTTAACAAGAGGGTAAGGCTTTTTGAAGTGATGTGTAGCAATAATCAACCCTGGATGCGGATCTTGGGTTGTTGTTCGTTCAATCTTTTGATACAAGCGATTCAATAACAGTCCGATAGAAGCTGTATTAGCACTGTCTGTTGTGTATGCCCTCATCTTCATGCTTAATAGTGTACGCAGTAATGGGGTTGACCCGGTTTTGTTTTGAGTTGAAACTGGAATTTTTCCCACCTTTTCTCAAGCTCAGTTAAGGAATGACCGCATACTTGACGAGTATACGTCTCGTAACAGGTCAGTATACCCGAGATATTTTCTTCCCAAGATTCCAGCATCTTCTTGCTTATATTCTCAGGAATATTTTCCCTTAATAAAGAAGAGAACTCCTCTTTGGGGATTACACTACTTTTAGACCTGTTACCCATAACATTAGACTCCCTATTATGTTTCAGAACATTCATATAGATGAAATCGTTGATGATTGAAAGTGGCGGGCCCATGTTACGAAAGACTTCGCTATAAAGAATTGGTATTCAATTGCTTTTTTCAACAGTACTTATAAAGTTATCGTGTACTGTGTATATTGGCCAATTAGAAAATAGCATAGATTCTACTACGTTCATTGCAATATATGCATCCCTCTGATGGATGAAGTTGACGAAGGTAGAGGTAACAGTCTTCTTACGATTTCTCTGAGATGTAGCAATTCTGAGAGTCACCCCACGCTTCTTCTTATGAAGTCTATCATAAACCCATATCTTTGTTGCCTCCATTTTCATAGAATCCTGTACCGTGGTAAAGTAAGGTACTTTATAGAAAACAGGGCGATCCCCTGCTGACGCGATCCAGCCTATATGACGGATCAACCGGATCAGGCAATTCATTCCAGGATATCTCTGATTCCAGAACTGAAAGCAGGCTTTGGCTACAACGCAACAATCCTTATAAGTGATGTAGTGAGAGAGATTGTCTTTCAGATCCATGGTTGTGCTCATTAGAGTTTTGCCATAGATAATAGGCATAAAGAGATTTTTGACTATTTTACGAGTGAGGATTTGGCAAACAGTATTTGATAGAGATTTATTATCGAGTTCTGCTTTCATGAACTCAATGAGTTCTTCGAGCAAGAAAGAATACAAATCTTTGATTTCACCATCTTCGGATGGGATGAGATTCGTTCTCTTAGCCAGGATTTCATCCATCAAGAAGTAACTCATAATCTGATATGCACTCGCTGAGGCATCTTGGGTAATAGGTGTGTTCAAAAGAACATCCGTTTTGTTGTTGCAAAGTCCAATAGCTATGGCCAGGAACTGAAAGGGGTGTTTAGCCTCCCGAGCGAAATCGATCAAATTTTTTTCTAGATTATAGAAGTTATTCAAACACCACTCTTTTGCATGATCGACAGTGATGAACTTCTTATAATGGAAGGCTGCTGCTACCATAATCTGAATTTTCATTTCCTCAGATATAGAATCTTTAGATTCAGTACCAGCAAATAGGATCAGGCTTCTAGCTAGATCACGCTCATGGAAATGCAAGATCCCACTGCGGTAGATTCGACCTCGGAAGTCGAGAAAGGCAGGCAAATAAAAATGATAACCATCGTAGGCTATTGCCAGTTTGATAATGAAATCCTCATAACGAGAACATTGAATGTTCTTATTTAATGTTTGTAACAATTCGCTAAAGCTACAGAATTGATTAATAACCTTATCCTTCATGTGAAACTCTCTAAGTAAGTCATATGCTTTTTTCAAATTCAAAGAAACAAGAAATCTTGGCTTGAGATAACCATATTCAACAAATGAATTCTCATTTTCTAGAATATATTTCAACCAATCACTGTTTATTTTAAAGGCCTGACCCTGCAGCGTGTTCATTACACCACACAGTTTCTTAGAATCTCCCTTTCCCCTTCCTATATAAAGAGAATAATGATGAAGGCTACCGGTACTTAACAGGCGGTAACGATCATATATTTCCCCAGTTGGACCACTTAAATAACCCCCTGATAGATCGGAAAGAGTTCTAGGCTCTTCCCCCGGAGGGCAGGCACTCGTCCAATCAAGAGGTTTGCACACCATTGGCAGGTTGAGCTTGATCGGTAGTAAAGAAATATCAAAGTTGCAGACAGCGTAGAGATGGCTCGGAATAGAATAAGAATTCGATCCTTTCTTCTTCATCACTCGAACATTCCCGTTATTATCATTAATGAATGTGATCAAATCCCTTTCATGCATTAATGAAACTAATCCTAAACCAATGGGATACATCTTTTCCAATTTAGATCTTTTCTTATCTTCATCATCCGTGGTTTCAGTGGACATAGTGAACTTCTTTTTACACCTGCGGTTTCTCAATAATAAAGCTTGGGTACGGACACTATTCTCTAGTCGTTCAACCAAAGTGGAAACACGAATCATTGAATCAACTGAGTGAAAAAGCATACTTAACACATAAACAATTAAGGCCTCAATCGTATATTGACCGAACTCTGAAATCAATTCAATATCATTCTCTTTTTTTAAACGTTTCCTAAGAATATCCTTAGCACATTCATCATCATTCTTTATTAAAATCTTTATTATATTTGGAACACTCCTAAACATAGATTCTTCATCGAATTTCAGAGTAAGGTCCTCAATATCAAGTTGGATCTTATGTAATTCATCTTCTGATAATGGTAAGTGAAATTTTCCTTTACGCAAAATATCGAAGACTTCTTCCTTATACTGATAAGATTCAGTCTTATGTTGACTCTCTTATTTATGAATATTTATTAAATGATAATAAAAAGAATTCCAAAAACTTATTAATTTTTCCTTCTCCTCTTCTTTTCTCGGCACATCAATCATTGATTTAGCTATCCATTTTTTGTGAATCATTGCTTTTTTTTTACCCTTTTTTTGAACCCTTTTTTTCCCAGAAAAGAACTGCTTTTCCAAAACTTTCCTTTTTCTTGCCTGCTTGAGTTCGACTGTCTTCACTTATGGATTGAAAAGAAAACGAGGCGACCGGAGGTGCGTAGCAAAAGAAAGTCGATACCGTACGTATGAAAGCCAGTAAGGTGGTCTGAGATCATAGGCATGAAAAAGAGAAGAAAAAGATGAAAGAACTCCTCAACCCTTCCTCGTACTCTCGGTCCAATCTTCTAAGGGACAGTCTGGGTTGGAAAGCGTACTCTTTCTTAAGAAACTAAGAAAGAGTGCCCTTTAGTTATCGCTTGAGTTGGAATAAAGCCGGAGACCCCTTCCTCTCGAAATCTCAGTTATTGGTACAGAAAACGATAGAAGGAGATTCTTCTGAATCCTGGAAACCAAAACAAGATTTTTCCCTATCTTCCAATCCTTCCTTTCCTACTTGACGGCAATTTCATTCCTTTTTTTTTCTGTTCAGAAAGAGAGTGAGAATGCTTGGCTAAGTAGTGATGTTTTCTTACTGAAATGTCATGAATGCCACTAGTTCGACTATCAGCTTGCTTCTCCTAATGCCAACACCAATCTGAAGGTCGTTTACGCGCTTCACTTGCATTGGCAACGTCGGCCTATCTATATCCAACGTGAGAGACCGATTGCCTGAGTGACTGAGTTCTCAGGAAGGCGTTCTCGAGACATAGCTTTCTAATCCGAAATACCAGCTATTACCTGGTGACCTAGTCACTACTCTTTCTGACAACTGCTCATCTTCCTAGGTGCCTTGTGAAGTTGCTACCCGGAAAGACCAATGGCAATGGTTGACTCAGAAATGACACGTGGAAAGTCTTGTAAAGGAAGCACATACGCTATTCTATGAAAAGAACCGGTCAATGCCCATTCCTGGACCATCCAATTCCTATTCCTCGAGCTAGAAGGAAGACCTTTTATGTACCACATTCCATCCCCTTCGGGAAGTCATTCAGATTGGCCAACCCTTTCCTCAGTCGCTTTAGCACGCTTTCTGCCCGCTGAGGAAAACGCTGTTGAGGAGTGGCAACGGGCCATCCGACAGAAAGACGAACAAATCAGTAGGATGGAGAAGAAAATGGAGGAAATGATGACCGCTATGGCCGCGCTACAGAACAGGCCTCAATCGCCCAGGATAGCGTCTCCAGAGACAGACCAGCCAGAAGTTGTTCATATCCCCGACGAAGAGTTGACTTCTACCAACGGAGATGAACCGCCAAAGAAAGATTCAGTCCAGAGTTTGATACCGGAGAAGGACATCAAACAAATTGTAGAACAACAGGTGAGAGAAGCCCTGGCTCAATCAAAAAGAGGGGCATCGATTCTAAAGGGTAGACCTTACCCGGAGGAGTTCGATACCGTCCAATATCCCACGGGTTTCGTACCACCGTTGTTCAAGACGTTTGATGGGACCGGGAACCCCCGACAGCATGTTGCGCACTTTAGAGCAAGTTGCTGCAACGCGGGGGGTAATGATGCACTACTATTCCGTCAGTTTGTGAGCAGTCTTTCTGGAGTTGCCTTCGACTGGTACGCAGATCTACCCAACGGCTCAGTAAAGACGACGTTCGCGGAATTGGAAGACCTATTCGTTAAACGGTTCGCTGGAGCTCAACACCACATCACTGTAGGTGATCTTGTGGTAGAGAAAGAGAAACCGAACGAAACTTTGGTGGACTACATTCTGCGGTGGATAAATCTGAGCATGAAATGTGAGCCGCCGCTCCAGGAGCAGCATGCGATCGAGATTCTTCTGAAGAGCATCCACGGTCCAGTAGCCTTCTTGCTTAAGGTCAAAACAAAAACATTCGAAAAATGACTTGCCAAGGCCGGGAGTCTCCAAGAAGAGGCCAAGCAGCTTGGATTTCTGGAGAAAGCTGAAAAGCCAAGGTCGGGGAAGACATTTGATAAGAGGTCAGGGACAGTGGCAGCGGTTGATAAAGGCAAACAGCCGATGCAGATTCAGGCCGAACAGTCTCAACAAATCTCTCAGTATCCGCAACAGCACGGTCAGCAGTCGTCCCAGCAGAGGCCATACCAGAGGAATGGAAGACAGGGTCCGTCTATGGCCGAACGGGTGAAAAGAACATACTCTTTCAAGAATTAGGCAGTGGGAAAGATGTTCCGGAACTTAGTCAAGAAGCCTGAGTTTGTATTACCAGAGCCGAGGAGACCAGAGGAAGTTATCAACCCAATTCTTGCCCGTATCACAGATTACTTGGACATACCATAGAGGGTTGTTTCGTCTTCAAAGAGTGGCTCGAGAAGAACTTCCAGAATGGGAACATAACGATCCCGAAAGAATATTTGAGAGAACCTGAACAAGTCAATAGAATTTCGGCTGACCCGATTGTTCCGATTCACTTTCACGCAGCGGGTGATGACTGGAACGCAGTTTGGAACGACATTCCCGAAAAGAGACTGGATCAGACTCAGACCACTCCAGTACAAGTTTCCGCTCAGAGTTCAGATCCTGCTCAGCCAACACTATCAACTACGTCAGGAAAGCCACGGCAGCGAAAAATAAGGAAGAAGATCATCAAAGATGCGAGATATGGTGAACCAAGGAGGAGAGTGAGGGCTGCTCATTCTCGATTAGTTGTTTCGGATTTGGGGAAGAAATCCCTCAAACCACTTACCCTGTATGATTTCCCCCAGGGATCTTAGAATGCAAAGATTGTTGAGTTTGGCTACGTTTTGGCTGTCTCTGGTGATAACGTAACTGATAATAGCCGACCTCATTCGATTTTCAACTTCGATGACAATTCTCAAATCATGCAGAACCCTCTCGAATCCGCTAATAAGGAGGATGCTGACTACACAGGCTACGATAGCTCGGAGAGTGAACAGGCCGTCCTCGAGTTTCACGGGACTCCAATTGCAATTGAATGAGAATCCTCAGATTCAGAGTCAACTCCAGAAGAATCAACTACAATGCCAGAAGAAACATTTATGGATCCAAGATAGAAGAAAGAACGGAAGTGAACCTGAGAAGTGGGAAGGTGCTACCCCCAAGGATGGTTCCAACAGAAAAGGGAAAACAGAGAGTCACTCGAGGAGAGCCAGCCCCGCCAGTGGAAGAAACACATGCCCGGGAGGAGGCCAGAGGCTTAAGTAGCAAGGTGGATTAGAATGTACTAGCCCATCTTCGGAAGTTGCCAGCCAAGCTAAGCATCTACGACGCTCCGAACCCGTCAAAGGGGAGGGAAGCATTGATCAAAGCCTTACTTGATCCATAAATTTGCTGAGCTCAATTGGCTAGCTCATCCTTAGACGAGGTTTGGTCGTGAAAAGAGCAGTCCGGGGTAACCTTTACAGACGAAGATTTGCTACTTGGCACCGCCGACCACAACCGTCCTCTCTACATTTCAGTCAACATAGACGGGTTCCTGCTCTCCAGGGTACTAGTGGATCCGGGAGCATCGATCAACGTAATGAATCTACGGACGTTAGCATACTTGGACATCGACACGCACAAGCTGACAGCTGATAAAATGATGCTAAGGGGATTCAACCAGAAAGGAGAGAAAGCCCTGGGGTCAATAACACTATCAATAAAGATCAGTGATTTAGTAAAAATTCCATATTATCAATTCAGACACTTCGTGAAATGCCATACTAGGTCGACCATGGATTCATGAATACAAGATGGTCCCGTCATCTCTGCACCAATGTAGAAAAGACTCTGAAGAAGGACGAGAGCGTTGCATAAAGGGAGACTTGCAGCCATTCTCAATACATGAAATAGGCATGCACGAAGATGCCACTTACTAGACTCCTCCAAAGAAGACAGTCTTTTCCAGAGACACCACACCAAGTAGAATTGAAAACCCGAAGGAATTACAAGAACGAGACCGTCTGACTCCGGTTCAACGCTCTCCCACCGCTCCTCTGCAACGAGCTGGTGGAAGCTCTTTCAGCCCTCGCATCCGAGATCAAGGCCGGGGACGGGGGCGAGGAAGAGTAAACAAGGCTGTTGAACGAAGGAATCCAACTATCAACATTGACTTGGAAGAGAGCTCCGAGGAAGAAAAGATCGAGAATGACGCAATGACAGTGAATCAAAAGAAGCCTCAGTTCGAGATCTCTTTGGAATGTAAAGGAAAAAGCGAATATGAGTGATAGAATTCACCACTATGTACAAGCCATGACCTTGACCCCGATTCATTCTCACAAAATTGAGGGTCTAGAGGTTAAGGAAGTACGAAATGTGGGTATGAAGCCAATAAAGTTCCGTCGTGGTTCTTCTTCGAGTTCTGAAACCAATGTCAAACTAGAGGAGGACACTTCTAATGAATTAATGAATTAATGGAATGACCTGTTGGGTGGTATTCTCCTTGTGTTAAGAAACTGGTTCAACAGGGTTTTGTGCCTAAGCAACTATC